TTTTTTTATCTTAAATACAACATGTTTATATATACTTTTTACAATGTTGGTATAATTACTGCTCTAAATGAGTCCCTTTGTCAGCTAAAAGCATGTTTTAGAGTCTCTGTACCGCAGTTAAGGATTAATCGATTACTAAATTAGCTGACGCTTCTGATAATAGAATAATCGCGATTGTTTCAGCCCAAGTTAGAACAGAGAAAGTCACTAACAGCTCAATGAAAAGAACCATAAATCATACAGAACAACAATTTTCACCTAAGTGCCTTTGAAAACACCTCAACAGACCATGTCCTAAAACAAATAGAGCTTTTTTTATATGATTAACTGAGATCCCAATGAGTCACTGGAAATCTTTTCATGTCTTAAAAGCGTTAAAACCAGAATTGTCTTTACATCATTAGCAGAAACTTCAACAATAGTCAGTTTAAATATGAAACCAGCAGGAACAGGAAAGAAAGACTGTGACTTCAGGTTCTCCGTTTCTAATATGTGTGGAAATCATTGATTAAAGCAGCATTTTAAAGATGACATCATATTATTAAGAAACTGCAACTAACTTTGTGTTTTTTGTTTTATTTTATTTTTTTCTAACAGAGCAGATATTAACCAGATTCAACCTTTTTGGTTTAGTTAAATGTTTCATTATCCAATCTAAAGTCTTTATAAAATTCACCAAAATGGCTGCAGTGGTTGCATAACCATACATTCAGGTATAATGATGGATAAAGCTTCATTTTAAAGTTTGAAATGAAATGCCAAACACTATTAATACAGCAAATTTACAACAACCTCAGCTGATCAAAGTGCTTTACAATAATGCAAATGGATAAAGAAATCAAAAAATAAAAAATAAATAAAACAGTAATAAATTCAAACTAAAATAAAAATTTATATGAAATTTTTTTTATTTTAATTTAGGTGAAAATGCTCTCAATTTTCCTAAATAATAAAGTCTAAATAATGATGAAAACCAGGATAACCAGATGTCAGCGGCTCATAACTGCTCACCAGAACCCCAATAAAGAAAATCTGAAGTGAGGATTCAGCCTGAATCAAACTGTAAACCATCAATCTGTTGGAATCTGTCAAATAAACTCATTTCCTCACCACAATATTTTCTGTGCACAGCCTATTATTGCACAAATTCTTGTCAACAGGGGATAAAAAACATTTGATTAATTGGATATTAGAAGAATAATAACCTCTAAATTAGAATAACTGGGGAAAAAATATTTCTAAAAACACCTTTGATAAGGATTCAACAAACAAGTTCCTCAGCTGCATTTCCTCTCTTCATTCACTGCTCATTTCCTCTCTACACAATCAGAGCAAACACCGCTGGCCAAGTGCACCATCCTCCGAGGAAGTACATTTCCATAAAGAAAAAAATACTCCTTAAACAAAACTAACCTGAATCTATAATTTTTACAGATTTGGCTCAAATAAATATTGTAAATTGTATTTTCTATCCTCTAATAAAATCTAATATTTTCCACATTATAACAAATTAACACAGATGTGTTTCAAAAGAATTATAAAGGGTAAGTAGAAGGATACAAGGTTTGCTAAGAAACAGAGTTGTTAAATGTGGTGCGTTTGTGTTCATCAATCTTTACTTTAACCACCCATAATTAAATAAAGTGTAGCACCTTTGGAGAATATCAACTATGAAACAAAAAATGAACATAAAGATCAAGAAAAACAGCAGGTTTAGGTTAAAAAAAGAATATCTGCAGTATCGTTTGGTAAAAATGCAAATGAATAACCAAAGCATGATAGACAAAGACAGTATCAGTCAGTGAAAAAAAACAGCCAAGAAGCCCAGGATGACTGTGGGAGAGCTGTACAGATCCACAGCTCAGGTGGAATCATCAGATAACAGGAGAACTACGAGTTTAGAGAACCACAAATCTGACAATAAGAACGTTTGTTTTTAAAGAAAGACATGCAAAGTCCTGCTTAAAGTTTCCCACAAGCCATATAAGCAAAACAGAAAAAGTACAGAGGGGGCAGCATCATGCTGTGGGGATGTCATTCTTAAGTGGAGAGGGGGAAAGCCATCAGAGTGGATGAAAAATACAGATGGAGAAATTTTGGATGAAAACATTTTAGAAGCTATAAAAGATTTAAGGAAGACACAAGAAACTAAAACAATAAAAGAAAATAAACAGGTTCACCATTCAGTCTGAGCTACACCCAAACCTTCACACACTGCATACTACAATTTAAGAAATATTTTACACTTCCTTCTTATTATTTCACTTGAAGAAAATGTTAAAAAAGAAGATAATTTGTGCTCTGGGCATAAAGTGCAGAGTAACAGGACTCTGATCCTCTTTAGGTCCAAACCTGTTTCTGTACCACAGTCATGATGTAAAACTATGACTAACAAAATTAATTTAGTGTTGATCTTGTACTATACCAAAAACTACAAACAAAATATAATTATTCAACCATTAATCAACTGAATATTTTACTTCATTCATAAATATGTAGTATTTCCAATGTGTAGCAGAGGCTGGGTTGGTTCAAAACAGGCAGATCTTCTGGACACTCCCTGATAAACTGCACAGATTAACTGCTGCTGAGCTTAAAATGTGTTTTCTTTATGAAACTTTAAACTTAATCCATATAGTTGACAGTCTAGAGATAGAAGACCATGAATCCCACATCAAACAGAGAGCATGAATACACCTTTAAGGACACTGCTTCCTAGAAGTGTGAGCAGAATGACAACTAGTTAGCTCAGGAAGCTAATGTTATGGTAGCTAATGGGTGGCATTCCTGCTGAGAAAAAGTTACTACATTATAGGGTTTACATAACAGCTTTAAGTCAAACTACACTGACCAAGATATGTGTTAAAGATTCATTTCCCGAGTTTATGGAATAAATCGTCCATATTTGATGTTTGCTAAAGTTAGCCGGTTAGCTGTCCGATAAAGGAAGCATGTCGGTTTAAAGTTTTGAAGGAGCTCCGGGAGCCGAGAGGCGCCGAGAGTGAGCCCACCTTCCATGGAGACTGACAGGCACCCGGCCGCCGCTGGCTGACTTACCGGAGGGTCGGACCGATGCAGTTGGTGTCCGTGCTCTCGATTTCCCGCAGAATGCGTTCGTGTTCTGCTGCTGTTTCCACGCTCGCCATCCTGCATGTTGCTGTGGACGGTTCCAAGCTGTGCCGAGAGGACAGACAGACAGCGGACAGGTTGGGAGGAGGAAACACACGGTAGGCTTAATAACATTGACGGCGCAGCCCGGGCGGGCGGTGACTGTTGTTAATGTTTTTTTTTTTTTGTATTATTGGGAAACTTTTTATTGCATGTGATATGGAAGGGGGGAGTACGGAAGAGGATTAGGGCCACTGAACAAATAAAAAGTTAACTGGTTGTTTAATATTATTTCAGTTTAATATGGGAAAAAGTCAGAATTCTGACTTTAATCTCAGAATTCTTACTTTTTTTTCAGAATTCTGACTTTTTTTCTCAGAACTCTTACTTTAATCTCAGTACTCTGACTTTAATTTCAGAATTCTGACTTTAATCTATAGCGTTACTCACTATGATCTGTTCAAAGATAAAAATTAGTTTAGACCTATAGGTTGAATTTCTTCAAAACTGAAATATCAGAATTTACTATTAAAATTGCCCCTAGTGATAACTATAAGAGAGTGTTTTTCACTTTCTTCCCAAAAGTAATGCAATATCTAGAGAAACTTTCTGGAAAGAAACCTGGAAATTCTCCATACTTTTTTTTAGCTTAGATAGTGCAGCCTTTTGGGGGACAGTGATTTAAGAAAAAATACATTTAGGCAGTTTAAAGGTTATCTGCAACTTTAAAAGTATAGAAATTTGATAATATAAAAAAACATAAATGTATATGTGTGTATATTTATATATGTAAAGTGAAATTTCAAAATAAAAGTAACACAATTTTAAATACATTTTTAATAAATAAATAAAAACGTTTTGCATCTTCACTTTTTTGCATTTAATTCAATAATTTTGTTATATATTATCTTAAATGTATTAGTTTTCAAACAATAAATCAAATAGATTTTCAGATAAATTTCCAGATGGAGGGTTTTATTTTGAAGGAAAACCAATATCCGGTTTTTGCATCTTAAATCTTTAGCTTTGCCTCTCATCCTGCCTACCTGCCTGACGGGGAAGGAAGTGCACAAGTTCAGTAAACATGGAGGTAAATGACTCAAACAGCTGTTAAAACACCAGGGAAAGAAATGCATGCAGTATTTGTGGTGTTTTATCTCCCATTTGATGCATCTTGCTGAATAAATGCAGTGTTTTTGGTCATATGGAGCTAACAGTGTGCTCTGCACACCCAGCAGGATCAGAGTCCATTCAGTGATAAGGAACTCCAAACTCTGCTGTGAATGCTCTCATTTATACAGTTTTAATGCTTCTAACAGTCTATGTGCATCTTCTGAAGCTGTCATTTGTGCATGTGTCATTTTTTGGGTTGCTGTTTTAAATGTGTTGTGACAGATCAGCTCCATTTCCATGCATTTGAAGGACAAATAATCCGGATAATCAGTGAGATAACAGGAACTTTGTTTTTGTCTCTGGTTTGTTTAAGCCCCAGAAGAAGCTGATCAACTCTGTGGATCGCTGTGTGGACGAGGCTCTCTGTGGCCTGGTCAGGGCCTCTGGGGGCCTCTGTCTGCTGAAGGGCCACAGGGTTGTGCTTCGGTCTGACCTGGATAATCTGAAAGGCAAAGTGGGTCTGCTGTCAGGAGGCGGTTCAGGACATGAGCCAGCTCATGGGGGTAGGAGGTTATGCTCGATGAGCTCATGGTTTTCTCACATTTAATGTGAGATCCTGGGTGAAAAGAATCTCATGTTAAATGGAAAATTGGATAGACTTCCTTTTAGTTTTTCACTTGTAAATAATCTGGTACTTATCTAAAGTACTTATCTAAACTCTGCTGTTATCTTTCCACCCTGAATTGATCTTAACTCCTTCTTTTAAGCTCCAAACCAAAGACTTCTTATAATCTCTGCTTTTATAAAGATAACTACATTGGATATTGCTCTAGTGTAGGGCTGCAACTAACGATTAGTTTGCTAATTGATTAATCTGTTGATTATTTTTGCCATTAATAATTGGATAACAAAAGGTTCCTTAAAGAATTTTTTTTTTTTTTCACAAAATCAAACCAGGTGAAGTTCTGGGTAGAAAGTATTGATAGACTAATATTTTATTTATTGTCAATGCAAAATGTTTTTCTTTCTTTTTTTAGCAGTCTTGGTATAGTAACTGCTCTATATGGGTTGCTCTATCAGCTAAAGGCAAGATTTAGAGTCTCTACACTCCAGTTAAAGCTATAGAGGACAATCTTTTATTTCCGGGTGGATCATCAAAATAAGTGGTCCTCCTAATCGTCAATCATTCTGGTGATATGTTCACGTAAGGCCGTCTTACGTGCTCACCCCGTTAGCTATCTTTTTCTGCTCACTTTCAGGCATTTATGTGTGGTGAGCTACGGTTTCAGACAGTCATTGAAGCTCACCTTTCTTTTAAAAATGGCCGAGTGTCATAATGTAACACGGGGGAATTACCCGGATTGTGACCGAGGACGTGGCCCTAAACCAACTAGTAGACCGCTAAAAGTATCATCAAGTGGCCTAGGGTCTCCCAATTAAATGTACCTAGGTAGGTCTGGCTTAAAATGAGGAAACAGATTTAGTATTCAAATAATATATTTCATTTATGGATTATTTAACAATTGGAAGACAAACTTTATTATTCTACTTTAAAATCCAATAAGGCACAAGAACCCGTGACAGAAGAAGCAATCCGAGACTCTAGAAACACACTGCAAACCACGTTAGTAACACACAAGATCAGACAAGATTATATTAATTTAGAAAAACACGAATCTCACGTTGCGTCCTGTAGAGCTGCGCCCAATCAGCTTATTTATAAAACAAATAAATGGTCGTTCTGGTTCTGTAGTGCCCGTGCTACAACTCTAACTCTAGAGAAAACCTTTTACCAAAACCAAGAGCATAACAAAAAAAAGGTCTCAATGGTGAGAGCATAATAAGCAACAGCAGCAATCTTCATCAGCCTCAGACAGGGGTATATGCAGACGCTGCAGTGAAAACACAACTTTTCCAGCGACGCGAATACCAAGATCCAAATTCTGTGTGGCAGCACGGCTCCCAACGCTTAAAAGAATCTACTGCACACCAAACTGAGCCGACTCTCATAGCTTGCTCGCACACCTGGTGCCTATATACGCTAATGAGCCTGTCAATTCTGTAAAGCAGACATGAAGGTAAAGAAACGAAGCTTTGATGCGTTCAAGGACCCTAAACGGGTGGGAATTTACACCCAATAAACCACCCGGTTACAATAATAAAAAAAAAAAAGTGTCTACGAAGTATATGAGAAGAAAAGAAAGGATCTGAAGAATGCTTTGTGCGGAGAGCTCTCCTCGCAAAGCATTATGGGATTTGCCATCACATCGGCCTACTGTCGCCATGGGCTATCACAACCGGCAACAGCGGCGACTAATAACATGACCATTGGGTAGCAAAAAGCAGTGATCATCTGTCTGAACGAACTGAGTTCTCTATAAAGTCCACTATATAGTCTCCACTCTATATAGTGATTGAGGGATTTAGGGGTTAGGGCGGACGTTTGGATGCAGAAAGCTTGTATGAGCTATGAGAACAGCAACTTTTAAACAGAGCGTGCACGAGGAGAAATGGGCTTGTGCACGCTCTCGCAAGCGTTTTAAGTAGAGAGGCTTTTAAGAAATGCACAAAAGTCCTCCACAAAACCTTCAGTTATTAACTGAATATTAAATTAGTTGACGATGTTTTACATTTTTTTTTTATTCCATATTAATGTTGACTTTATCTTTTTTAGTAATTGGTAGTGATGAATTATTTTAGAACCTCAAATGTCTTTATTTGTGAGTTATAAAGGAACATTTCTACCTGCCATTTTAACCAGTACATAGTCTGTTTGTATTCCTACTGGTCCCAGTTTAATCTTGCTGTGGTGTCTTTAGGTTATATTGGTGCTGGGATGCTGTCTGCAGCCGTAGCAGGAGGAGTGTTCGCCTCTCCGCCTCCCGCCAGCATCCTGGCTGCTATTCTCTCCTTACACCAAGCAGGTAATCTGCTTCTGATCTCCTCTAGCTTGTTGTTGTTTACAAATAAAAGTTTGGGTGAGTGACGTCCTCCTCGTTGGCTCTTCAGGAGCTTCAGGTGTTCTTCTCATTGTGAAGAACTACACTGGTGACCGGCTGAACTTCGGCCTGGCTGCAGAGCAGGCCCGTAACCAGGGCGTCGACGTGGACATGCTGATCGTGGCCGAGGACTGTGCCTTCGACAAACCCAGTAAGGCTGGCAGGAGAGGCCTGTGTGGCACTGTCTTCATCCACAAGGTGGGTAGATCGTAGCCACACATATTAGCAAAATGTGTGGGATTTGGATTCAATTTATAAAATGAATAAATATGTTGCTGTGAAACCCTGAACAGCTTGCCGGGGCTTTGGCGGAAGAGGGCTGTTCTTTGAGCCAGATAGTTACCAAGATGAAAGAGGTTTTGAAAGGGGTTGGTGAGTGCCTTTCCTCTTTAGATCCTGATCACAGGTTTCTGGTTTCTGCTCATAACTATTTATTTTGTGGACTTTTCCACCGCAGGCACGCTGGGAGTCAGCCTGTCTCCATGCAGCGTCCCCGGGTGCCTTCCTTCTTTCGACCTGCCACCAGGAGCCATGGAGCTGGGACTGGGTGAGGGTCCATGACAGAAGGAGGGGGGGTGGAATAAACTGGTTTAGTTAGAGCTCAGGATGTAGGTCTAATAGAGGAGAAATGCATTAGCAGGTTAAGAGTTTTAATGTCTTTTACCAGGGGAATCCAGGTTGATGCATAATGGCTAGAGTGTAATTATTATGGGATAGAGTGGAGACGGTGCAGAATTGTAAGATGTTTAAAAGTATTATGATAAAGACAACTTAAAGGTATAGTGGAGGATCATCTAAATGAGTGATCCTCCTAATTGTCAATCATTTTGGTGATATGTTTACGTAATGGGGTCCTACGTGCTTGTGCACATTTTCACTTACCATTGGTGAGTCTGACATAGTGGAAAAATAGCAAATCTTGCTTTGGAAAGTAAGCTTCTATGAGCATTGCAAAGAGTAACTTTGAAACAGAGCGTGCACTCCCTCTCGGGAGTGTGTAAGGGGTTGTGCATATGCCTTTTTTTTTAAGTGGAAAGGGCGGGTCATTTAAAAAAATTATAAAAATCCTCCATTATATCTTTAATACATTTAAACTTTATTCATGTTGATTAACCAAAAAAACTTTAGGAAATCCTATAACTTATCTGTAGACAAATTAAACAGACTTTCATCATCCACAATAGCATAATGTGGAAAATTAAATTAATTCTGTTTATGTCTGAAAGATCAACTGTAAAAGTTTCTTTAGATATAAAAGTTTGGATCTTTTTATTTAGTTATTTGGAGCAAGGTTAATATTGTTAACTAAAACTAGAAATTACAAAACCTAGAAAAAAAATGTTTCTTAATTGAATAAAAATAGAAAAATTCAGACCTGAAAAATATTTGAAACTGTAAATAGGGTTTATAGAAGTAATTACAAAATAACAGAATTTTATGAGGAAGTGTGCTTAGTCTTCATTTGTTTCTTCATGAGGTCTAGTTTTTATCCGCTGTACCTCGTTCCACCAGCAGATGGCAGGTGTGACAGTCAGTCATTTGTGATGAGCAGTCAGTCCTTGTCTGGGATTTTATTTCTGTTGTTTATTTATTTTTTCGTTTGCCTTTATGTTTGTCGTATTACTTTAAAACTATAACCAAAATTTATAAAAACTACACTGAAATTAAGTATAACGATATAAACTAAACTAGCAAACAACATAGTGAAAATGTATTAGAACTAAAATGGAGTTAGATATCAGAAAACTATATAAAAATGAAACCGATGAACATTTAAAAACTTTTTGAATGGGGATTTGGAGCACATAAGAGCAGTCAGTGTATTAAATATAAATGGATCATAGTCCCCCTGATTACGGCTCATAGGCTATAGGGCAATCCTCTTGTCAGGAATCAAGCTAACAACTAATTTCAGCACAGATAATTCCCTAAATTAAACACAAATTTAAAACATTCACAGCAGTTTCCGGGTACAGAATGCTGTTTAGAGTCACTAGTGTTACTAGTTTTTTAATTGACTTATTAATTGATTGGGGAGTGTTGGCCTAGTGGGTTCTGAGAAGGTTGCAAGTACCTGGTTAGATCCCCACAGCCTGCACTCTGGGTCCCTGAGCAAGACCCTTAACCCCACACTGCTCCCCGGGCACCGCACCATGGCAGCCCACTGCAGAGAAGGAATTTCCCCATTGTGGGACAGTAAAGGGATTTTAAAAAAACATGGTCTCCTTTTTCAAAAGCCCTGATTTCCTCAGAGCTGTTTATGCTGCAGGTAAAACACTGAAAGCTCATAACTATTCCACATGACCAAAAGAAATGTAAGCCTAATACCCATCATCTACTACAGTTAGTAGAGCGCTCAGTGACTTTATGTATTTATGTTTAAATGCACAGCTATATGGCATAATGAGCTTCATATGTTGCCTTAGTGATTGATATTATCCAGCCTAACGTGAAAGAAAACATTCCCCTCTGAGAGAGAAAGCAGTTTGAACTGATGTTTTGTACCAATCTGTTGCCCATCAGGAATTCACGGAGAACCTGGGATTAAGAGGTCAAAGGTGAGTCCAAATATATTTATAGTTGTTCTGGTTTTAACATAATATGCAGCTTTATTTCTTTTAGGCCTAAAAACTGTAATTCAATGGGTTATTGTAATAATTGTCAACTAATTCTGTAATCAAGTTGGAGTATAGACTCTAAAACATGCCTTTAACTGACAGAGATGGCTGACACCTGCTTAGAGCAGTAATTATACCAACATTTTGCATTTAAGATTAAAAAAAGATCTTTTTCTTCTGACAATATGAAAGAACTCCTCAAGTGCACCTGGTTTAATTCTGTAAAAAAAATCTTCTTTGAAGAATTTTTGGCTCTCCGATTATTAATCGATTAATCAAAAAAGATAATCGACAGATTTATAGATTTGCAAAATAATTGTTAGTTGCAGCCCTAATTTCTTTGTGTTCTTGTCTTTCAGGTGGTGTCTGCAGATGAGGTGGTGAAGATCGTGATGGATCACATGACCAACCCAGACAGCCAATCCCATCTGCCTCTGAAATCAGGTCAGTTTATGATGCTGTTTATTAGCTGTGGTGTTTTAACAAGCTTGTTCCCCGTTACTGAATGTTTAGTTTAGCTCAGTTCTTTGTTAGCTAAATGCTCATTGCTGGGGAATCAATGGTGCAGTGTAACCCGAAGGTTGTGGGTTTGGTTCCCGGCTCGGGGTCTTTCTGCATGGAGTTTGCATGTTCTCCCTGAGCATGGCTGAGTTCTCTCCGGGTACTCAAGCTTCCTCCCACAGTCCAAAAACATGACTCTTAGGTTAATTTACTTCGCTTAATTCTCCTTAGGTGTGAATGTGTGCGTGAATGATTGTTTGTCTCTGTGTTGCCCTGCGATGGACTGCCGACCTGTCCAGGGTGGAACCCGCCTCTCACCTGTAGACAGCTGGAGATAGGCACCAGCAGCCCTCGCGACTCCACTTGGGATAAAGCGTGTCAGAAAATGGATGGGTGGATATCATTGCTGTATATTCCGAATTATAAGCAGCTTTTTTTTCCCCCCACACTTTTAACCATGCAATTAAAGCAAAGGTGCAGCTTTTCTGTGGATTTCTCTGCAACAGCCAGGTAGCAGATGTCAAAGCTGGCTATTGAAAAACAAAGGCATGACGGAGAACAAATGTCCCAAATTCACACATTTTGACATTTATTTGCCCCATTAAAGCTGCCGAACCAATAAAGAGCGTGTGCAACTCCTGTAGAGCTGAAATAAAGAGCCAACAAAGTCCTGTTTTTCATTAGAAGCTCTAACTGCTGCAGGCCATCAAGCTAACAGGAGCTAGCGTTGTTCTTTTTCCCGACACTAGGGGGCGACATTTAGAGCTCCCCCTACAGGTTTGGTGGGGGACATTTCAGTAGATTTCAGCAGGTTATATTTATAAGTTTCAAGTTTAAAAAAACAAAAAGATGTGAGTGTGACTTGCAGTTAGGTGCGCTCTTTAGTCCGGAAAATGCTTTATGTAGACTGAAAGATAAAAAAGAGAGCTTAAATAGGGGCTAGAATCAATAAGGCAGCCAAAATACACATTTCTGTAGATCTGTACATTCTCTTGTCTACACTATAGGATCTGATCCCTAATTTACACAGACAGTCTTTACAGATTAAGTCTGTGTAGAGCTTTCAGCCATCCACCATGCAACATCTGTATTTTCCAATTAATTCACTAAAAGGTAGACTAGATCATTTTGAAGGCCTCACTATATTGATAAATACATGTATGTATTTTAACATCTCTGTTAAGGTCATTATTTGGGGTTATTTATAATATAAAGATAAAATGAATATAGCTTCTCTGTATTTGATGCGCTACGACGGCGTATTCGGGCCATTCAAAGATGGAAAAGAAATTTGGAATATACATTTTTTGAGTTTAAAGTGGCATAGTTACCATAATAAACACGTAAATTTACGAGTAAAAAACACCCAAGTTTATGAAATTATAGACATGCAAATTTAGAAGTAAAACTTAGAAAATTTACTAGACTAAATCCAAAAATATACAAGAAAAAACAAGCTCATTTACGATATTCTAAGCGTGCAAATTTATAAGAAAAATTTTGCAAATTCACAAGAATAAATATGTAAATTTACGAGAAAAACAAGCAAATTTACGAGAATATTATAAACATGCAAATTGATTGTATCATTTTTATTTTAAAAACTTACATGAGGAGGCCATTGTACTGTTTGATTCCATCGCTAAAGCCTCCCAATTAATGATGCATTTACATGTGCTTTATATAGCATACTTTAATGTGTATTATAAATAATAATATTATAATAAACTTGTGTTGTTCTGCAACTGTACATGTTTAAATCTTTCAAATTAGCTACTTTTTTCTCCTAAATTTACCTTTTTTTTTTCTTATTCATTTGCTACTTTTTCTTTTTTTTTCTTATTCATTTGCTACTTTTTCTCATATGTTTTAATTTCGTAAATGTGTTTGTTTATACAGGTGTTTGTTGTGTTTATTCTGGTAAATATGCCACTTTGAACTTAAAATATTTTTTTTCCTCCTTGAAGTACAGATTCAGATTACTTGTTTTTATTGCACACTCCTTACATGCTCCTCAGAAACCTTTGAGTGGAGCGGATCAGAGCCTTCGCAGCACAATTTAGGACCAAGGAGAATGGAGGCGAAGCGCCAAAACAGACCCGAAGCATGGCTGCAAGTAGTAGAAACCTAGGGAGAGATGACAAAAGCATGAGAGCACAAGCATCCTAAACATTTATCATGTTTATATTCATCTTAAATTTGGTTAAAATCTAAGAGAGCTTTAGGAGCGTGTGTTTAATGCCTTTCTGACTCTCTCTTTCACTTGCTGACTGCATGAACTGTTTAATAGAATAAAGTTTTTCATGTTTTTATTTCAGGTGACACTGTTGTTTTGTGTGTGAATAACCTGGGAGCTCTGTCCTGCCTGGAGATGGCTGTAGTTACTCAAGCTGCCGTTACCTGCCTGGGTGAGCAAAGGCCGCTTTCTTTCAGCACTTTCAACCTTAAGTTATCTGATAAAATTGTTGTTTAAAAATTTAGTTTTTTTAATTATTGTTTTAATAGTACCAGAAAACCTTTTTTAACAGGAATTTCACAATCTTATCATTAATTAATATCATTGTGAGAGATCTAGATATTACAAAGGACAGTTTGGACTGATATACACTATGTAATTATGAAGTACCATATTTTTAGACTCTTTATGCTATTTATCATATATATATATATAATCCTTGTCTTGTCATTATTTTCTTTGACTTCATGCCTTTTTTATACTCATCAATCTAAGTAAAGGGATCTTCAACCTTTCTCTACTACTTTGTGCCACTGACTTTAAATCAGGGCTGCAACTAACGATTATTTTGCAAATGGATTAATCTGTTGATTATGTTTATGATAATAATCGGATAGCCAAAGGTTCCTTAAAGAAGACTTTTTTACAAAATTAAACCAAGTGAAACTAAAATGATTCGACTTTAATAGTTCAGGATAGAGCATATTGACAGATGAAAAAGTATTTATTTTTTTATTTATTTTTTTGCTAATTGATTATTCTGTTGATCAGTTTTTCAAATAATTGATTAAAGCACCTTTTGTTGTCTGATGATTAAGGAATATTTTCTTTACAGAATTTAAATAAAACAAAAAATGTTTTCACTTTAGGAGTGCTGGATAGGGCATATTGACAGAGTAAAAAACTTTTATATCAAATGCAAAATGTTAATATTTTATTTTTGACAATTTTTGCATAATTGCTTCTCTAGGGTTGGTTGATCTGCCCGCTAAAGACATGTTTTAAAGTCTCTATTCTCCTGTTATCAATTCATCGATTACTAAATCAGTTGAAGATTATTACAATAATCCATTAATCACAATTTTTTTTTTATTTATTCCTTTATTTAACCAGTCCCATTGAGATTAACTATCTCTTTTTCAAGGGAGTTCTGGCCAAAACAGAGGCAAAAGATTACATTAAAAATTACACTACAGTTTATAATTCCATCTATCTATAATTAGAAATTCATAAAACAGTTACAAACCATACAGTATATCTCATTTCCAAACCTTTGAGCAATCGTTTAAAATGTCCGATTGGACTCAAATCCTTCATCTTCCAGTCTTTCTGAAGATTGTTCCATGCTGTGGGGTCAGAGTACCGAAAAGCTGTTTTTAATCTGTTTAATTGTTTTAGCCCTACTTTAAATCAGTGTTTGTTTTATTTGGTTATTTTCCTGAACTTGCTACTATTAAAATGTGAGGTTATTTTTTTTCAGAATTGTATATTTCAGTTTTTGCAACGTTAAGAGATTTTTGTGGCTTGTTAATCTGTTTTTTTGGGTTATTTGCTGTTTTTTTTTTATGA